AACATCCCCTGCTGTTTTGCCATGACTCTATAGATTATTAAAAATAATTCACAACTGATTAGTCATTCCTTTACTTAAACAAGTGACAACTTAGAAGCTATATTATTTTCCTAAACAGTTTCAAACATATAATTTTTAAAAATGTAATATTTTTGGGAATGGTCTGTTTTGTTTTAAACTTTTACTCTGGATCATTTCCTAAAACTGACAGGCAAATTCAGGGGTAGCTCAGATTTGAATACCAGGAGTACAATTCCATTAGAATAAAGAAAACAAGACAAGAAGTGGAAGCTAAGGTTTTGGAATTAGAGTAGATTCAGTGAAGGTTCTGGGTCATTATTGCAGATCTTAAACCTGCAGTGTCACCTCACTTCTTACTCATGGTTTAAATCATAATGCCAAAGATTTTTATGAGATTGAAAAGTAATAGATACTTGATTCTTCTTTCCAAAACCTCAGTGATACATCATAAAGCAAAATAGACCCTTAACCCTGGTGGGATATTGGCATATATTCAAATCCGTGATAAGATCTTATTTATTAAGGTGAATTTGAGAATCAAATTCTCTTCTCAAAATCTCTTTTGAGAAATCAAAAGGTACCAGAATCAAACCTGCCACATAAGATGATTTTACTTTTCATGAACGGACACCAGAAATCATTTCTATTCTCTTAGAAATGTTGGAAGGTAATGGAAAATATCTTTGCTACCCCTAGCCAGGAATTATAGGAAAACAACTCATTTCTGAATAGATTTAACATCTACTTAAAAAAATGAGTGTTTTCAAAATCTGTCTACATAATTTAAAATATTAAACAATTCACTAAGACAATAAATATTTATTTGGAGTTGTAGGCAAGTAAATATTTATTTGTATGATGTTGTAGGCAAAGTTGTAGGAACACAAGAAAGAAGAAAAAGTTTTAATCATGATTGATGAAACTCACAATTTATATTTATCTAAATCAACCATGTTGCATTTGTCATATTCTGCTTTTTTATTGTTGGATGCATCGTTCCTTTCTATATGACCTGTCTTTCTCAAACATTTTAATTACATTGGGATAAACATTGCATAGCAGTTAGTGGTCTCGACAGTCAGATACATATGGGCTCAAATCTTAGCTGTTTTTTCCATTTAATATTATTGACAATTTCAGCATTGCAGTGTCTTTCCTATTGCTAATCTCTCTGATATTTACTTTTATCAACTGTAAAATATGAGAAGAAAAAGATAGTTCCATTGCTATAATAAATTGAAGCGTGATAATACCTATGAGGAATGTACCATACTATCTGGACAGGGAGGCACAAAGTCCTTATGGGTAGCCATTATTTCTTCTTTCTTTACTCAGTCCAAAGATGGCTTGTGCAATAATGTGGTTGATACTTATTACAGTTACACTGATTAATTTTGAAAGCTTCATTGTAAAATTCTTGGATATATTATCTAAGCACAAAAACTGTCTGACAACTTAAAAAATAATATGTTTTTCTATATGTGCAGGTCAAAGTGATTATAATTTGGGACTTGTGAAAAGTAGAGGTCTCTACTTTCATGACTTTGTATTTTTTGCTGGAAGTCTCATTAAATAGATTTTGAAGATAAGCATTTCTTTCATGACAGTCCAGTTTTCAAATGTAGGTATCAATGAGACAGTAGCATATTAATTTATTAAAATTTTTCTATGACTTAGTTTATCCCATTAATTATCTAAATAAAAATTACTCATAGATCCCTTGTGTATGGAAATTATCTTATTCATCTTTGTATTCAAGGTGCACACAATAGTAATTAGCTGGCACTGGATAGGCTTTTATGTGGAACTTATGTAAATCTGTGTGAAAATAAGAAGAGTATTACTCCACAAGCACTCCTGGGAATGTGAAGTTGCAGGTTTGTGTTGATGCTGGGTACAGATTGGGAAATATTACTAAAATTTTAATAGAGTTAAAATCCCAGACAAGGCGCAAATACTGAAAAATCCTTTTCCACATCACAATTTCCTAACTCTCCCTGTTGTGAAATCAAGCATCCATTTAGCCTGAATGTTGCTAATGCCTGCCTTTCTACAGGACAAACTTGGGTCTATTCATGGTGAGGGTAAGAAGAGAATGCCTCTCTAGGCCCGGAGCAGACCCGTTTCTTTCTACAGGAGACATCACCATGTCCTGGAGAAACTGTCCAGAGGCTTTGGCTGCTCACTTCCTCCGGTTAAAGCAGCCAAAACCAACAAAACTACAGAACCCAAGAAACCAAACATGGTGAGTTATTACTTAACTATCGCTATTATCTGTGGATCAAGTCTAAGGCTATAGAAAATAATTGGTCTTAAATTTTTATGTAGAACTTTGGAAGGAAAAAATCTGAACAGCATGGGTACTTCTCGTGAATATTGTTTTTTGTGACAAGACTACAATCAAAATGCTCCTTTTTTTTTTTTTTTCACTAGAACTAGATGCCTGCTTAAGGCTATGTGTGGTGTTTACCTAGAATCTTTTAAAGCATTCATGAATTTCTCACCAACACTCTTTATGCGGGAAGTTATCCTTTGAAGAAACTAAAAACCAAGATTTACAGACAATGCTTTCTGCACATGGCTGGAGTAGGTTAGGTAGTGAGGTAAATTTTCTTGTCCCAAAGTATGGAAAAGAAATATGGATCCAGGACAAAGTGAACAATGACAACCTCTGAGAATTTAAACTATCATAATTTCATAAGTTACAAAGTTTACATGGCAGAGAATTACCACTGATATTTAAGTAAAGCAAATTAGAAAAAATTGAACTCTTAATATTTTCTATATTAAGGAGTATTTTAGAATTAATGCACGCAAAAAAGAAGATAATGTAATACTAGAGATTAGTTGGTAATAACATGTACCAGAAAATAATGACTAGATAGATCTACCAGAATAGAAGCCCAGAAAATAACGAAGACTTCACGGACATGCAATTTAAAAACTCAAGTAATTAATTAGGTGTCAATAGCAAAACTGTAATACAACTAATGCTCAAAATATCGCAGCTTTTAAATAGAGAAATTAATGTTGAATGATTGGAATGTTTAGCAAGAGATGGTAAGTAGACATTTAAGTAGATGTATACTGGGGACTAGAGATGCCTAATTATAGAAAAGGGAGACAAGAACCCCACACCCACCCAGTTGTAAGGAAAATATCAATGCCGTTTAAACCATGAGTTTCAAGAAACTAATTAAGTCATTAAAACCGGACATAGAGGAAGTTGTCATGAAACACAAGACAAGTAATCTGCTAATCTTGAGAAATGACATACTGATTTAAGGATAAACCTAATGTTATAGGCAGCTGAGTTAGATAAAAATATTATAACTGGTCAGAAAGGACCAGGCCCTGGAAGGAGCCAACATAAAAGACAAGGTAAGATACCTGTGGGCCAGGCCTCAAAACAAAAAGACTAAACAAATACACCCACTTAGCTCCCTAGGTGCAAACATCAGGGATTGATATTCTAAATAGGTAACAACCACCTTCAAAAAGCCAGAAAGAGTCATTAGCCCAACCCCCTACAGGAAAAGCCCCTGTTCTGTCTTCATGCCCATTTGCTATGTGACTTGCTTCCCCATTTGATCTCAGTTTACTCAATTTTACCTGAACAATTATGCTTGTAATCTTATTGGCCGACCATAGTTTTGTCCCACCTCATGCCCACCTTGTAATTTTCCATTTCCCCCCTACCTTGGACCCGCCTCACCTCGGGTTTTGCTCTATAAAGTCCATGGGAAGGGCAAGGTCCTTGGTAACCCACTTGGGCCCCCTTCTTCCCCTCTCTTGGACAGAAGCTTTCTCTCCCTCAATAACTATATTCTGCTCTTAACCTCTGTTGTTCCTAAACTTCATCTTCAATTTTAGAGAACATGAATTCATCCCAGATATTGTTGAGGTTGGGAGTTTTTATTTTCCTGTATCACTAGGAGCTATGGATCAAACCTGTTTTATATGTCACATATCCAGCAAGCCCCACTCTCAGCACTCAGTTCAGCAAGTAGACAGGGGTTCAAGGTATTCTGGGAAGGAATCCGTGTGACTGCTCTGTCTCACAGATACATACTAGAGAGAGAAAGAGGCTATTGATAGGTTCTATGTATACAAAGCAATTAACAAGACCTTCTTGAAAACAATGACTTATTCACTTTTAATAAAAAGTGTTTATATATATTTCCGTTACACTTATGAATGACCTAAACACAAATACAATGTGCATCTGTCAGAGGAGTAGATGGACAAAAGTAAAGGGGATGCTATTGATGTGGTCCTAAAAGTGTCAACTGACAAGCATTAAGAGTCCTAGACATGAAGTTTCTGAGATACTATGGTTACATAACAGGAGGTGGAGTTGAGAAGCCCATCTGCATGCTTCAATTATCTGAGGAAACTACCTGAATGCAGCATTTCTGGATGCATGAGAGGCAAGATGCAGTTGTAGAAATAATCGCACAATATATGAGAGACATCACCCAAGTCTTAGCACTATTAGGAAAATGTAGATGTTACACAAAAATCACTATTTCTCAATAAACCCTTTCTAAGTTAAAAAATGAATTATAAATGAGGACATGTGACTCTGAAATCTTTCTTTAGTTTCCAGTCAGATGACTGAAAGCCTAGAAGTCTTCTGCTCTGCAGAAGCTGCTGCTCAGAGGAGATTCACTTAGGTCTTGGATATCGGGGGCTTTATCTGTTTATTTGATAATGGGAATTTTCTGCTGATTATTGATCTTTGCCACTCTTAGGAACTTTAGTGTCTTATACAAATGACTTTATAAAATAGACTGTATTTTTATCCATTAATGGGCACTTCATATATTGTCTAATATCTGTCTTGAAGTTTGCAGCGTTTCTGCAGCAGTACAGAACCTGACCAGACAGTGATCATACGAACTGAGGTGCACCCAGTCCACATGCAATGAAATGAGTCAGTTAACTGACCAACGACACCTCCCCCACACATCCCTTATCATGAATTTAACCCATTCCTTGCTTTGAGAGAAATGGGCTGTACTTCTGGGATAATTTTTACAGTTTTCAATCTAACAGATATGTTTCATGGTGTTTAATATCATTTGGTCATGCAGTGAGAAGAGAAGACACAATTTTAATGCCAGTGAATTACCAGGTATTTCTGTACTTGTCTGCGTACACTGTCTCACTTATCACAGTCATGTCGCAAGGTGTAAGTGATTTTTTATTTTTTCTGTTGCAAAAACTGAAGTGTAATGATGTTGTACTAATTTTCAGGATCAGAGTATGTTGATTCATGGGTTTCTAATGCTCACCATATTTCAATTATACTGATGGCGCTCCATAATCATGACACATACTTGCTTTAAAATGCATAATATTACTATCACAATAGCCCAGTAACCAGACAGCTATATATATACACCAACATTTACAATGTATAAGTCTTTTATAGTTATGAACCCATTTAATCATGGAAAGAGTTCACTTTGGGGAAAAAGTTTGGTTGTTCTTATTTTAAACATTGGAAAACAGAGTCAACGAAAAGGTAAGTAATGTTCTCCAGATCCTATAAATGGTAGTGAAGGGCAGGTATTTAACCCATGTCTGACTCCAAAGTTCATGGTCATAATAATGATGATAGGTGCTTAACTATGGTAAGTGCTTTCACATTCATTATTTTATTTGAGTCCATAAAACTTTATGAGAAGGGTAGAGTGAGCATCCGCTCACTTCACAGGCAATGAAATGGAGGTGTAGACGTGAATGGAGCTGGTAGGTAGCAGGGAAGTAGTTTAAGCTTAGGTCTTCTGACCTCCACACACTTGTTCCCTATTATACCCTATAGGAAGTTATATAAAGCTTGAATAACAGAGAGGTCATAGCATGTGATTCATTGTAAAAAAAGATACAAAGCCCATCCTCTATTCTTCAATTATGCACATCAACTACACTGCACTTCTTTGAAAGTGTATGGAAAGGTTGAAGCAAGCCATTTCATATCCTTGAATCTGTATTCTCAAGAAAATCTACTTAATATTAGTCACCTTACAAATTTGCTTTTAAAAGTGAAAGAAATAAATTCTGTGAATATTTTCTTCCTGTTTTGGGTTAGAAAATTGTGTGACTTAACACTATTTTAGAATGAACACAGTGTAATTTTTACCTTCAGATAAGTTGCAATCAGTTTTCAGGGTAGAGCATTACTTGTATGTGGTGAATACTGTAGATGTTTAACAAAATAAGTATGAGTGAGAAATAGTATTGTCAAGCCAATTTGAAGAAGAAATGATAAACTAAATCTTGAAGTATAAACTTCCCCAAAAAGGAGACAGCTTATAGCTGAAGGAAGAATGTAACTTTCTGTGATCTCTGTAGATTTCTTAATCAGATACTTTGGAACAAAAATCTATGAGCAACATTCTTCTGAGGTTCCTCAAAAGTGTTTTATAAACACAGTTGTGTTTAAAAAGCAGCAACTGGTTTCCTGTTTGGTGCCTGATATCCACCATTCAGCATTATTTTCTAGTCTATATTTCATACCTCTAGGAATTCACTGTAAAAAATTACAAACTCCTAGAATGAGAAATACTATTAATCCCTAAGTAGCATTACATATTTGCGTGTATACATTTCTCACCTTGCTATTTAAAAACTAGCATGAAATCAGAAACTAAGAAATGTGGAAAAGAAATATTGAAAGCTCACAGCAGAGGAATATTTACTGTCATCCGAAGTTCTGGAAAGAGACTTCTGACAGCTGGGAAAAAATAGGGGGGTTGGGTAGACTAGGAAAAAAGAAACTGGAAATCTGCTGGTGGCAATACAGTAAACCCATTTCCCCAGCTTATGTTTGAGTATCTGTGACCACTCAGGAAACACAGAACTTCAGGGCCAGGAAACATCAGAATTTAGTTTTCTTTCTTTGCATTGTTAACCTTCATTGTCAGTTTGATTGGCTTGAGAGTGACTGAGCGGCTGAGTAAATGCTGCATGTATGTCGGTGGGTCACAGAAGTGTGACATTTGGGTCTCTATCGGCTCCCTGTCCCCTTTGTCTATGGTGCTTTTCTCACGCTCTGCTTCTAGGCCACGATGACCCAACCATCTTTGCTCTGGCTTGCCTTGCTGCCATGTTTCTGCCTTAGAGTCAGTCAGGCAGCCATGGAGTGAAGGCTCTGAAAGAATGAGCCAAATAAGCATCTGCTTCCTTAAGATGTAGGTACCAGGTATGTGTTCCAGCAATGCTAAAGCTGACCAATACACAAAATTGGCACCAAAGAATGGGGTCATTGTGGTAACTATTTCTGATCGTGTAATTCAGAAAACTTTGGAACTGGTCTGCAGAAAGAATTTGGAAACTTTTGGAGAGGTATTTTAGAGAAATTTTGTACTGCTGTAAGTAGAGTCTAATGAGTATTTATGGTCAGGTCTCAGAAGACTAGAATGCTGATAAAAGTACAGACACTAAAAGACAGTCTTGCTGGGCATGGTGGTGCACGCCTGTAATCCCAGCACTTGGGAGGCTGAGGCAGGAGGATTGTTGCAAGTTTGAGACCAGCCTGGGCTACAAAGTGAGCTCAAGGCCAGCCTGAACTGCACAGCCAGACCCTGTCTCAAAAAGACCAGAAAAAAAAAAAAAAGTCTCAGGAAGTTATAGATGGGGACTGTATTGTTCATTATTGAAAAAGTGCTCTATTTTTTATTTCTTTATTTTTGAGACAGGGTCTGACTATGTAGTTCAGGCTGGCCTTGAGCTCACTTTGTAGCCCAGGCTGTCCTCCAACTTGCAATGATCCTCCTCCCTCAAACTTCCAAGTGTTGGGACTACAACAGTGTCCCACCGTGCCAAGTTTTAAGAAAATGCCCTTATCCTATAAACTGATTGCTACTTGTTTGAAGGCAAACATTACATTTTATTTGTTCTTGGAAATGTCTACATTTTGGTCATTCCCTAAGACTCTGAGGTTGAATTTGAGAGGTATGAACTAATTGATTCATTTTAGGAAATTTCAAGGCAGTCAAATGTTCAGGTTGTGGCATGGGTACTACTATGTACTTTAGCCAGATTTATAGTGAGGATCAGGAGCCAGAAATAGAAAAGAAAAATTTTAAAATTTTAAAATCTCACCAAGAGAATAGGCACAGGTAAATTTTGAGCCAAAGAAGGTATGATTGCTGAATATTGGTACCATCATAATGAACTCAACATCTTTTAAACCAGAACAAAAAGAAAGATGTCTTGAGGGCAATTGAAGAGTCAAAAGACCCCACTCATTACAGGGTCTAGAGTGCACAAGTATAATATTTTCATTTGAGAAGACATATATTTGGACCTCTGCTTCAAAAATGTATGCAGGGAAATATTTAGCTGAATTAACTTCACATTGTTCAGGTATTTAGACATCAGATGATACCACAGCTATTTTCCTATGGGCCCTGTATTCTGCTTACACTGTTGGCAAACCTTGACACCATTCGGTTAATGCTGGTTGTTCAGGCATACAAATTGCAAAAATTAATCGTAAACTTCTCTCCAGATTTCAAAGGAAGGCTTAGAATGTTAAGCAAAAAGCCTGAACCAAGGCAGTGCCTGCCAGGTGACCCCGAGAGGGTGGTATAAGAGGCTACAGGAGTAAAATATAGGACCTAATGCTTGCCCTGCCAAGTTCTGGTACAGCTTTTGTGCTATTCTTTTCTATTCACTTACTTCTTATTTTCAAATGGGAATATTTACACAGTGGCATTATATATTAGCATTGAGTCACTTTTAAAATATTTTAGAGGCTTATAACTAAGAGTTTGCCTTGTGTTTCAGGGGATATTTTGGACTTGGACTTTTGTGGTATATTGAAACTGTTGAGAATTTAACAGAGGCATTACTGCATTTTTGGTTAAACACAGGGCCATTGCATCATGTTAAATGGAATTATAAACTTATTATTATTGTTATTTGGATACTATGTCAGGTTTAAGGAGATGTGTCTGGCTATTAATTTGACAGAGGTGAAATGTGACAGTGAAGTGTAATTGTCAATTTTATTGTCTTGGGAGATATCTAGGGTAATTGAAGCACCTTTTTGCATGTGTCTTCATAAAAATATGAACTTGGGGTTTATGTCTGGCCCTGACCTTTCCTCTCCTGTGCTGTTCCTTGCTCTGATTCACAGCTGCCATGTACTGAGCATCTTTGTTCTACTGTGCTCTTTCACCATGGTATTGTATCTTGGAGCCAAATATCCATGGACTGAATCCTCTAAAACCATGAACAACATGTACCTCTCCTCCTTTAAATTGTGATTGTCAAGTATGTTGTCTGGTACTGGGAAACTGATCAGTATTCCAGTGATCCTCAGCCATTACCGCTATATATACTATAAGCAATTCTTATTATATTAGTTTTCATTTGAACTGACCTATGTAAGAACAAATTATGCATGCATGAGTTTGCTAACATCTCCAGGGCAGAGAGAGAACTTTGTTTCTCCTAAGAAAGCACAGAATGAGATTGCTAGTACTGATGGTTAATATTCCCTCAGCTTCTAACATTTTCTCAAGAAAGCTAACTAGATTTTGATTTAAAGGGCTGGCAACCATTTACCTCTTTTTTTTTTTTTTTTTTTTTTTGCTTTTCATAGGTTGCCAGTCAACAATATGAATAAGGGTTTTCAGTGATGCAGGAGAATTAATACCTTAATAAAGGACAGATGGGAATTTGTAAATAAACACCTTTGGGTTGGATATCATGGGTATCCCCAGCGTTTTATAGTGGGATAAAACTCCAGTTGCCCCAAATACTAGCATAATTTATATCATTCACTGGCTTCTTCCCTTTCCAGTATTTCTTCTTCTTTCTTTTTACTGAATTTCCTGAGATCACCTGTAAAACAAACTGGTGCTACTAGCATCATCATATCAGAAAAGCATCACACTCATGATAGAATTTCACATAAGTAAAATGTACACTAGTAACAAACTCTTATTTTGAAACACAACACGACTTTTGAGGATTTCATATCTGAAAAAAAGAACTCTTTGAAGCCATTTAAAATAACATCTCCATTTCTACCCAAAGAAGCCAAATAGGAAGCCCATTAATAATAATGCTTTGCTCTTGTGCATAATTTTGCACGTTTTAAAGCCCTTTCCCATATTT